CACAATTAAAAATACAACCTGTTGCTCGAAGCGCTCGAAAAGAAGTCGACCGTTTGTTCCAAGCGGTCAAAGCGAAGTGGGTGATCTTACACGAGACGAAAACACCCTAACATTTGCGCATGTCTGTTTCTTTGGGGTTGGTTGCCAACCTTCTTTTCTTCTTCTCACCAACTGTTTCTTGCGCGCGCGAAATTCATTTGAAATTTAAAAATTCGAATTGGATCCTTACAGTCGTCCCCCAGCGTTTTCGGAGCGAAGCTACGCGTAGCGACTGGAAACGCTAACCTAAAGGAAGGCCAATCGAATTTTTATCTTCTTTCTTCTGGACACGTCCCCCCGATTCCAAGTGTACCAAGACACGTTTGCCTCACCAACGTGTCCTCCGGGCGTTTCCCGAAGTGTTGGGCGGAGGAAGCGAAAAGGGGTTAAAGGGTGCCTGAGCAGGCAACGCGGGGACAGGAGCGTGTGACCTGGAATCTTCACGACGCCTGCGTCGTGGTGATTGGCGCTCACGCCTTCGATGGGGCGACCCTCTGTCAGAGTCCCTGTGTTCTCGACCGGACCCACGTCCAAGGAGGAACTCCTGAGCCCTGGCAAAACTCCTTTCCCTCGGTGGAATGGTGCTCCATGCGCTCCAGACGTCGTCCGGGAATACCCTCATGACGTCGTCTATGGTGTCGAGCTCGCTGTCCGGTAACATCAGCGACTTCAGGAGCCCGTACTTGTTGATGAAATAGTCCACCATGAGTCCGTCTCGGTGGGGGTCAAAACGTCCTCGCCGGACCTCCTCAGCCACGGCCCTGCGTTGGTGTGCAGGCCAATACAACTCCACGAAGTCGTGGCGGAAGTCTTCGTAGGTGCTCCAGCTGTCTTGGCTGGCCGTCGCCCATGTCCTCGCGTCTCCCTTGAGGCACTTCAACACCTCTCCCAGCTTGCTGGAGGAGGGCGTGTGCGCCTCGGCGCAGTAATCCTCGAATTCCCGCAAGAACTCCAGAGTCTTCTTTCGCGTGCCTGAAAAGGACGGACGGGGCAAAGATGTCGCCGCCAATCGTCGCTCGAGGTCCAAAGCGTATCGCCTCCAGCCCCTGTCGTGGGACCTGGATCGGCTTCGCTCGTAGGACCGGTGGCGTCGTTCTTCTGGGGTCCTCTCGCGTCGCTCTCGGCGTCTGCCGCGTTCCTGGCTAGGGCTCCTCGAACGTCCTTCGGAGGAACGTTCCGGTTCCCTGCTAGGGCTTCTTCGGCTACCCTTGGAGGTCGTGGCTTGCGTGTGATCTGTCCACACGTCCGTGATCCGGAAGTCGGGGTCGTCACGGTTATCGCTGCTGCGTTCCCGTCTTTCGGCCATTTCTTCAGCTGATCACTTTGCCTGTTCTAAATCAAAACACATGAGTATTTATGCAACATTAAATGCGCTCCTCTAACACAGTATGCAACATTGTATCCTGGTCACGGCACCAAATTCTGTGATAACCCAAACTTCCCGCCTTAAAAATTTGACCTTGAAACAGTTTGAAAGGCCCGCAAAAATTTAAAAATTCAAAGTTTGGCCTTGGCTGTGATCGTCTAACAAATGAGAACCTACGTTGTGTGTTTTTTTTTTTTTTTTATTCACTTTTTGGTTTTGAAAAGTGGCGGGAAGACGTTCTTTCATACAAGTGCATACACTGTCGAGAGCGCAAGAAATAATTAACAGAAATTGTTTTGGAGGGGGGGAAACGGCACCACCCTCACAGGGGGAAATACGCTGCGAAGATTTACCCCTCAGCGCAAAAACCCCCTTGGTTTTATTCCCGGACGACATTTTATTACATTTCAAACACCTTAAGATATTTGAAAGAAAAACACTCGCGGATTGACAGACATACACATGTGAAAACCGAACAAACACAAGACCTACACATATGTAAATTGGATGGCAGAAACCGAATCATTATGAGAGTGTGGCGATCGAACAAAATATAGAACAAAATATATCAATTTCATTTACGAGCACAGCAAAATACCCAGAGGGGGTGTCGTAGCGTGAGCGAAGTTTGGAGCTCCCGGTCTGGGCTGGTTTCCCCCGCGACGGTGATTCTATCTACACCAAGCCTGCCAGACATCACCCCTCCATTACGAACATGTTGTCCAAGCAGGCCGTTTCGGCCTAAAACTAGCGGTGAAGTCTCGTCAACTACTACCTCGTCGTCAAGACCGTTCCCACTGAAATCTAGTTCAAAGCCTGCACATATGTGCAGAGAGCGCGACACATTCCGCTACCTCAACTAGGAACTGCGCCCATCGCCGACACTACGTGTTATCGTGTTATTTACCTCCAATTCTATTTAAATGTTCAATCTCTATGACTCTAATATTAAATGACAACCGAACAAGTGTTAAAGTTTCAACAAGGAGCAATAAACAACATTTAAATTCGCCACACACTCTTACGAAAATTCAACAACAAATGATTCTTAATTGAGATTAAATTTGGACATCAGATAATTTACATGATAGAAGTATTCATCAACAAAACATTTACATGATCAAAACTTAGCAAGGATTTATAAAACAAAGATCTGGTGTGAAATAAACTTGTGCAAATAAAATATTATGTTAGGTCAAAACTGTAGAGCATGGAAATTTACATTCAATTCAAATTATACAGCAAAGAAAATTACTGAATCTAAAATTGTGAGACAAAGACAAATTGCATGAGGTGAAAGATTGTAAAGTTAACAGATTTACATGTGATTAATATTAATTCGTGTCCAGTCAAGTTATTGGTTAAAATTCAAACGTGAAATTATTTAAATGCATTGTGGGCCATTATTACACATACATTTCCCCAAACAAAACACATAAACAAACATGGCAGACTAGCTGCAGTTGCAAAATGGCGTTGGACGAATTCGTCATTCCAAATAATAGGCGTCGAAAATATGCGATGCAAAAATACGATGAATCCTGTGGCGTTGTATAAACGATGTGCTAAATCCAAAGAATAAAGGCACGTCCCCCCATGACCCACAATGTTGTTATTTTGTTCAATAGATTCAGTTAAAACATGTGCTCGTTTAAAAGAAACAAAATGGACGCTTCAAAATGGCCGCTGCCTGAACAAAGAACGGTGAAAATAACAACTCGTTTGCCGCCATCCAAAATACAGATTTCACAAATATAGCTAAATAAAGCATGGCCCGAACTAGAAATCACTTCCTGTAAAGCCCTACTGCGATGGATTTTAAATGAAAGATAAAAAAACGAGATTAGTGGAAAAAAGCGCACGCGTCGATGTCACGAGGCCAGAAGCATCGTCGGGGCTTGAAATTCGCCGCCAAACAGGTGTTCAAAACATACCTCTCCAAAGATGCGAAGATTTCGACACGGCTTACCGCCAACAGGAACACAAAAACCTCGTCGTAAGAACGATGAGAAATCAGGAACACCCAATGGCTCAACGAGGCTGCTAGGTTTTCCAATGGAACAGATCAACACTGGAAAAACAAAACACAACAGCAAAAGGCACAGAATAATTCACAATTAAAAATACAACCTGTTGCTCGAAGCGCTCGAAAAGAAGTCGACCGTTTGTTCCAAGCGGTCAAAGCGAAGTGGGTGATCTTACACGAGACGAAAACACCCTAACATTTGCGCATGTCTGTTTCTTTGGGGTTGGTTGCCAACCTTCTTTTCTTCTTCTCACCAACTGTTTCTTGCGCGCGCGAAATTCATTTGAAATTTAAAAATTCGAATTGGATCCTTACAATGTTTTACTGATAAATTTCTTTTGTAAATAGTAGATCGTTTTCCGTAATTAAAAATAATAAGTAAATTACTGAACTAAAAGGAAGTGAGTGTTCGATTATAATGGATTTCTTATCGCATGTCGCAACGGTTCGTATATAACACAAATTGTAAACTTGTTGAAAGCTTTTTTTATCACAGTTTTGTCTCAAGAACGAAGGAGAACACTAGACTTGGTTAAATTCTTCGATAGCAATAATCTCTAGATTATGATTAGGAACAAGTAGAGTGGAACTACTTTGAGAAGAACATCTTGCAAATTTATTATAAAAAGATACTCGATTTCAAGTGATACGCCACTGGTCTAAGCCTAAACGACAAACTGTGATGACTCAACAGGTTCTTCTCATGGTATTTCCACTCTATTGACGTAAAACACCCTGAGTTTGCTTAGGTCAGTATTTGTATTAGTTGTCACGAAAGAAAACAAATAATCAAAAGATTTAGATTAGTCATGTCATGGTTTTATTTCTGGTTGTTTTCATTCAAAATCTAGTTTTTTTTTTGACAATTTTGAAACAAAGTTGGTAAGCTTTTTCATTTCACTTTGACAGACTGCTTGTCTGCATATTTGTATTAGCCCAAAATAAAGTTATTATTATTATAAATAGCTTTGTCAGCTTACAAAAATAAATTTGATGTAAGTTATTTCTCTTCCTGTGACGGTTAATTTTTTTTTCTGTTCCACGTAAGAGTCCTTTTAATCGATGGATATTATTACCTCGGGTGCTTGGTACCGTCATCACCTCTCAGAGGGTTGTCGGGTGAAAACACCCTTTTGAGCTTTTGTACTTAAGGTGCATGACCCAAGAAATTAACACGGTTAAAAGTAATTGATTTTCGTATGAGCGTTGAAGCAAAACGTGTTGTAATAAAATCATACAAAGAGGAAGAAAAAGTTGCTACGAGTATGATTAAGGTCGGTTTTTGCGTGACGCAATAATTTGGTCTGCTTTACATGAAACGCGTGTTTTTTGTACAAAGTAACAGAAATATTTATTCATGGCAATGGTTCCAGTAGGCTGTGTATTACGCGCTTCATTCAGATGGTGGACGCAATTATTCTTGGGTACAGTCTGGGATCTCTTATCTCGAGAATGCGGCAAAATTTATATTTATAACCCAGAAAGATAACAACTTACGTATATTTATAATTACCGTGTTTACGGTTTAGGTGGGTAAATATACAGAAGTATTTTAAACAGATGCATAAATAAAGATCAAACAATATAAAACATATTACGGGTTGTACAAAAATGCACTTAAGCACAACAACAATACATCATGTACTCATAATCTTCGCACAGGTCGTAATTATTCAGAGGACAATCCAGATGAGGCGGACAATTTACAGGAAGCACATCTGCGAAAAACTGTTTAGAACAAACTCACCCACAACCATGACATACCGAAAAATCTAGCACAGCCACAACAGTACCCATGGATGATGGCTGGGTCATCGTCACAGAAATGTGGTGGGCATCCAGTGCAGCGTGGGCCTAAACCCAAAGATGGAATATGAACTAAAAAGCAAACAATCAATTTTGTTATTCTATGTTCGCATAACTTACTTCTTCTGGAAGATCTAGAGGTGAGAGTACCAGCAAACGACGAAGCCAAAAAACCGAATAAAACAAACAAAAGAAAGCAGACTCTCGTAGGGGACATTTTTAAGATCGACTGGCAATAAGTGTCGTTTGCACATTTTTAAATAAAAATTTATCAAAAAGTGGTTAAAAAGTCATTTAGATAGGGGGTCAGACGGTGGCTAGAGAATTAGTTAATGGAAGGTTTTACTGTTTATAACATTTATGTTCTTGGGAACGTAATCATTATTAGATAATATGCGATTATAATGGGTACCATATGGTACACGCACGAAAACAACATTAAAAAATATAGGGTGATTCACACGCGACAATGAACTTCCATTGTCATTTTTTGCAAGCACTTATTAATTTTGGTATTAGAAATAAAAGTGTTGCTGTAAGCACATTGTCCGGAATGTAAATGTGTAATTGAAAGTAAAAAGTACTTCTGATCTTTAAACATACTGTATATTATGTGTCAAGATTTTTCGTGTAGGCAACCACCAATACACAAAAAGTGTTGCGTCGGTTTCATACTTTGATATTATCTGTCAATTATAACTGTCACAATTTAAAGTTTTCCGTATTTTTTTAATAAAAAACAAGCTTAAACCACCACCAAAATGGGTTTCCTGACAGTACTAAAGAAAATGAAGCAAAAAGAGAAAGAAATGCGCATCTTAATGCTGTATCCTTACCTCTAACCTAACCTAAAATTACCCACTCGTGCAACAATTCGTATATTACGCCCTTAATTCGCAACACAGAGGACTAGACAACGCCGGAAAAACAACAATACTCAAACGCTTCAACGGTGAACCCATTGACACAATTTCGCCCACTTTGGGGTTCAATATTAAAACACTGGAGCACCGGGGGTGGGTATTTTTTTGTAGTTATAATTTCACAAGTGGCAAATTTCAGCTTCACTTTAAACCTCTGGGACGTCGGCGGCCAGAAATCTCTGCGCTCGTACTGGAGAAATTATTTCGAATGCACAGATGGTCTGATTTGGGTGGTTGACAGTGCCGATAAAAGGAGGCTGGAGGACTGCAGGGCCGAGTTACACGTTCTGTTGCAGGAAGAGGTGGGTATGCGGACTGTGGTAGGCTTAGTAATGGTTGTTTGAGTAGAGGTTAGCTGGGGCCACTCTTCTCGTGTTTGCCAATAAGCAAGATTTGCCAGGGGCGTGCACCCCAGAAGAGTTAAAGGAAATTTTGGAGTTGGACCAGATTAGGACCCATCACTGGCAGATCGCGAAGTGTAGCGCGGTCACAGGGGAGAATTTGTTGAAGGGGATGGATTGGTTGATTGACGATATTGCGGCGAGAATTTTTACTTTGGATTAATTTATATTTATTAAATTTTTTTTTTATACAATATTGACTTTTTCTTTTCGAAAAATTGATGAATTTAGACTTCAATAACTATAGGTTAATTAATGACTGTTGAAAATTCTGAAAACAAAACTTTGAATGTTCCAAAGTTTACGTTGAAAATAAAATGAGAAAAGATCTAAATATATTTTTAAGAAAACACTGGTAATCTACACACCCTTCCACCCCCTCCTAATTTCCTATATTGATGTTTTCTCCTCATATTTACACAATTACGCGATTAAACCATACAACCTGAACAACTTGGCCATCATGAACCTCAAGCTCTCTATAAAAGATATCAACTCCATCATCTATTTATACAAATTCTTGAACATCTTCCTGATAACACCATGGTACGACTTCGGCAAAAACACCATCTACCGTCCCATCACATGTAAGTTCTATGGGTGTCTGATAATATCGGTTAAATTTTTTTGGATAATTCATACCATGACCGACAAAAAACTGCGCGAACTGTACCAAGACATGGTAGTTTCCCAAAAATTCATCTTCTTTGGAATTTACACCCTCCTGCTGAGCCTCAGTATCCTAACAGTGTCGAAAAGTTGCTTCTGGGATAGCGAAAACTGGAAAACCCTCATCACCAATTTACAACACGTCGACGAAAAGCTGAAAAATAAAGGGAAAACCGAAACGTGTGTCCTGAAAAACATCTATTTTCGGTTTATCATCGAACAAGTTATTTTTTTCCTAATCATTGTCTACCAAGTGTACGTCTGGATGAATTATATTGAAGTGTCTGTATTTAAAATAGCTTGTATGAGTTGTCTTAAGGAAATTTATTATGAGTTTTTAACAATAACGCTGTTAAGTAGTTTAGTTAAGAGTTTCAAGACGAGATATGAGGATGTTAACTACAAACTAGCTACGATAACTGGAAAATCGAACGTCAAAGAAGAGTTGACACAAATCTTACAAGAGTATCGAATTTTGGGTGAATCTGTGGACGTTTTCAACACCATTTTCGGTTATCAGTTAGTTATGATTATGTTTCACATTGGGCTGGAGTTAGTTAATTGCTTAAATGTTGCTTTTGTGTTGCACTTGACGACCAATCGGAATCTAGACCACCATATGTTACTAGCTAGTGCTTGTATAATAACTGTGGTTTCAGTAAGTTTTTACTACGATTAACTTGTGTTGTTATTATTATTACTATTATTTTAGTATAATTGCCTCAGGATTGTACTACCCATCGATTCGACTGTCCAAGAAGCTAAAAAATTCCAGTATTTAGCTTACAAGGTCCAGGAAAATTTTGCCGAAGACTTATCAGAACTGGAAAGTTTTATCAAAATGACTCAGCACTCGAAGGACTTCGTGCCACAATTCAGTGCAAGCGGCTATTTTAGGGTCGATAAAAGTTTGATTTTTAGTATTGTGGCCAATGTGGCCACGTATTTTATAATCGCTATCCAGCTGAACGAAGCTAGTCGTAGCTACATATCGCTTAAAATTTAATAAATAACACGTTTGTTATGTAATGTCTTTAATTTTTAATGTGTTTTTATTTTATCGGTAAGTTAACAGAGGCAAAATCAGATCATTAACGAAACGTATTTTCGCAATAAACTATATTTTTCATTCTTTCCAATTCATGCTTAAATAATGACTCTATTGTGTTTTAACAGTATATTATTGTAATTTTCCTAATACCCAACGTATAAAATGCGCTAATTGCAATGAAAAATCGCATTTTAATTTAATGATCTGTTCTCAGAACATTCAGTTTGTTATTAAAAAAATGTTTTTTTTTAATTTTGCCGTGTTGGCACTTCACTGCATTTTCCAGTTGAACGCGGATCTCATATTAGATAATGGTAAGTGGTAGCACATTAATTTGTTTTATATCGGTGGCTTATGAATGCGCCTTGATTTTTACCGTCCTACTTTTTCTTCCAAATATTCTGTTATGGTTAAAATATTTTTATAGGGGGTTCTGGAGTATGCTTTGACCAAAACCACGGACATCTTCCATTAGGAGAAACCTCAATTCCACTAAAATGTACTGCTGCTGTGTGTTTTCCAAATGGAGAAGTAAAATACAAAAAGTTAGTTCATTTTACCGCTACACAATAAAAATAGAGCTAGTGTTTGTTCAGATAAAAAATTTTAAATGAAACGAAGTACATAAACAAACGTTAAGTAATCTAAAATTACTCCAATCAAAATTAATTATTGAGTTGGCAATTCTGGCAATGTGTTGCCACAATAAAAAAAACAAAAATTAATAGTCATTCGGTATTATAATTGGTCGATCCAGTCCACTCATACCTAATCATGATCAAAACGTATTTTTGTATTTATATATTTTGTTACCATTAATAGAAAGTAAAATACTTATAACACTGTGATAACCCAAACTTCCCGCCTTAAAAATTGACCTTGAAACAGTTTGAAAGGCCCGCAAAAATTTAAAAATTCAAAGTTTGGCCTTGGCTGTGATCGTCTAACAAATGAGAACCTACGTTGTGTGTTTTTTTTTTTTTTGGTTTTGAAAAGTGGCGGGAAGACGTTCTTTCATACAAGTGCATACACTGTCGAGAGCGCAAGAAATAATAGACAAAATTAGGAGCCTTCCTAAGGAGGAAAAAGAAACGAAGAACGACAGACGCTCGATTTGCCCTTCTGGCGAGTCCGCAGGGCCAAGGCATCATCGGTCTTCATTCCCCAAAACCCCTTGGGGTTTTATTCACCGACATATTACATGTCAGACACCTTAAGATATGTGAAAGAAAAACACTCGCGAATTGACAGACATACACATATGAAAACCGAACAAATACAAAACCCTACACATATGTAAATTGGATGGCAGAACCCGAATCATTATGAGAGTGTGGCGATCGAACAAACATAAAACAAAATATATCAATTTCATTTACGAGCACAGCAAAATACCCAGAGGGGGCGTTGTAGCGCAAGTGGAGGTTGGGACTCCTGATCGTCACTGTTCTCCCTCACGACGGTGATTCTATCTACACCAAAGCCTGCTCACACGCACATCTCCATTACGAACGTGCCCTGCGAAACGAGGCGGTTACGATCGCAGATCCGTAGTGGGGTCCCGGCTATCACGAAACCGGCAGCGTTAAAAACCCGCGACCGCCCCCTGAAGCTATACAAAACCCGCGGACTTGTGCAGGTGACGCGATTAATCCCGTCAGTTTGAGAAGAAGTCGCGCGCCCCACGTACACTACGAGTTATGTGTTATTTACCTTCAATTTCATTTAAATGTTCAAACTCTATGACTCTAACATTAAATGACAACCGAACAAGCGTTAAAGTTTCAACAAAGAGCAATAAACCACATTTAAATTCGCCACACACTCTTACGAAAATTCAACAACAAATAATTCTTAATTGAGATCAAATTTGGACATCCGATAATTTATATGAGAGAAACATTCACCAACAAACATTTACAAGATCAAAACTTAGCAAAGATTTAAAAAAACAAGATCTGGTGTGAAATAAGCTTGTACAAATTAAATATCATGTTAGGTCAGAACTGCAGAGCATGGAAATTTACGTTCAATTCAAATTATACAGCAAGGAAAATTACTGAAGCTAAAACTGTGAGACAAAGACAAATTGCATGAGGTGAAAGATTGTAAAGTTAACAGATTTACATGTGATTAATATTAATTCGTGTCCAGTCAAGTTATTAGTTAAAATTCAAACGTGAAATTATTTAAATGCATTGTGGGCCATTATTACACATACATTTCCCCAAACAAAACACATAAACAAACATGGCAGACAATCTGCAGTTGCAAAATGGCGTTGGACGAATTCGTCATTCCAAATAATAGGCGTCGAAAATATGCGATGCAAAAATACGATGAATCCTGTGGCGTTGTATAAACGATGTGCTAAATCCAAAGAATAGAAGGTACGTCCCCCCATGACCCACAATGTTGTTATTTTGTTCAATAGATTCAGTTAAAACATGTGCTCGGTTAAAAGAAACAAAATGGACGCTTCAAAATGGCCGCTGCCTGAACAAAGAACGGTGAGAATAACAACTCGTTTGCCGCCATCCAAAATACAGATTTCACAAATATAGCTAAATAAAGCATGGCCCGAACTAGAAATCACTTCCTGTAAAGCCCTACTGCGATGGATTTTAAATGAAAGATAAAAAAAAACGAGATTAGTGGAAAAAAGCGCACGCGTCGATGTCACGAGGCCAGAAGCATCGTCGGGGCTTGAAATTCGCCGCCAAACAGGTGTTCAAAACATACCTCTCCAAAGATGCGAAGATTTCGACACGGCTTACCGCCAACAGGAACACAAAAACCTCGTCGTAAGAACGATGAGAAATCAGGAACACCCAATGGCTCAACGAGGCTGCTAGGTTTTCCAATGGAACAGATCAACACTGGAAAAACAAAACACAACAGCAAAAGGCACAGAATAATTCACAATTAAAAATACAACCTGTTGCTCGAAGCGCTCGAAAAGAAGTCGACCGTTTGTTCCAAGCGGTCAAAGCGAAGTGGCTGATCTTACACGAGACAAAAACACCCTAACATTTGCGCATGTCTGTTTCTTTGGGGTGGTTGGTTGCCAACCTCTCCTTCTTCTCACTAACCGTTTCTTGTGCGCGCGGAATTCGTTTGAAATTTAAAAATTCGAATTGGATCCTTACAACACATTTAATATGTTCTTCATATTTCAGTTGTGAGCCACTTCCCAAAGCCTCACTGGAATGCGTAGACATGCCTATGGATATTATGTTATCTTTTCCACATTGTTGTGCGCGCTTAATATGCATTGGCTAAATGGGTCAAGTCAACATGTACTTTTCCAAAAATTGACATATATATTTCAATTTACATTAGGTACCCCTTTATAAAATGTTAAAGATGTTGCCAACCTGACAATAAAAATCACAAAAATTACTAGCCATTTGGTATTATAATTGGTCGATCTAATCTACTTTGCAATATAACCCAATCATGATAAAAACGTAATGTTATATTTATATATTTTGTTATCGTGAATAAAAAGTAAAATATAACACACTTAATATGTTTTTCGTATTCCAGTTGTTACCTAGATCTCGGAGATGCTTTTAAGGAATGCCAAGTCTATCATGAGGATGTTAGATACCCTTTTCCATACTGTTGTGCGCGGGCAATATGCCTTTATTAAATGGGTCAAATCAACATGTACTTTTCCAGAAAATGAAATATATATGTCATGAGAAAAACAATAAAAAGTAGTCGTAAAATTGGTTCTTTAAACTTCCCTCGCTATAAAAAGTTTGAGAAGCCCTGACTTATTAGAGAAAGAAGAGTTATTACTGGTTGCCTATATTTGCACTAGGAAAAATAATAGTGGAAAAAATTGCACCCATACACGAAATATAGCAATAATTTCTAACTTCGTCACTAAACGTGTAACAGTTAACACTTGTGGCTATAAACAATAATTGGAGTAGTAAATAAATCGAAACCCCATTTTGAATCGAACCCCGCACTGAAGTGTGGTAAACCTACATCATCTAAAATAACTAGTTTTCAACGAATGCATCCACAATGTAAACCATCTAGGGACTTTTGGGCGATTGGCACTAGCCACCATTCGTCATTGACAATCACATGACAGTTTGTAGTTTCGAGGTGTGATCTGTTTCAGCCAAAAAATTCGAAAATGCCAGTGTGCGGCCCGAAATTGTCCCTCTGCGGCTTAATTTTAAGCGTTTGGGGAATTATCCAACTGGTAAGGTGTTGTTATTGCAAAACCCCCATTTTTTTTCTAATTTGTACCCTAGGCCTTAATGGGCATTTTTTATTACGTACATGCCGTGGCCCTCGCCGAAGATCTGCCCGAGGCACGCCACCCCCACGACCCTGACAGCCTCAAAGACTTTTATACGGACATAGACAGAGGATACACGCAGGTACGATTTTTTCAGTTCAGCCCTATCACGAAATTATTGAATTTTTCTTGATAGAACGCTTTCAACTGCTGGATCGCCGCTCTTTTGTACGTTGTCACATTGGCGCTTTCGGCGCACCAGTTCTGGGCCAACAACAGATCATCCTTGAGCGTTTAAAATCCAATTTTAATGTTCAGTATTGTTACTCGTATATCAATTTTAGTGTACATATGTGTAAGAAAGATTTTGTTTAGTTGTACTTTCCCATCAGTTTAGAGTTGTTATGATTGTTTTATGGTTTTCTACTTCTAAGTGGTGTTACATGTGGCATAGTCTCAATATGCTGTGAACCTAGAGTAATTAAACGAAAATAAATACATAAATTAACACATTACGACTTGTGTGTGACGTTACAGGTTTGAAGGCCACGTACTTAAAAAGTAGACTGATTTATGAGAAAACCCTAGATTATAATTAATACCTTTATGCTCCTGAATTAAATTTATTATGTACTTGATGGAAACGCTACATGCGTATAAACATAGACCACGCCTCCGCCGTTGCGATTCGCCAATACCACCCAAAATCGACCAACTGAATTGCATCGTTCATTTTTCCCTCGCGTGAATGTGGTTGTTGTGTTTACGCCACGCCCCCGCAACTAAAACACCAGCGTTTATGTCAAAAACACGGTTTATTAAAATAACAAAAAGAGCACCTCCAACATACACCTCTGAGGATCTTTCACTGGAAGTGACTTTACAGAAAAAAATCATGTAAACTTGACCATAAATATAAAATAATCAGGGGAAAAAAAAATTAAATATGCTGTACATCATCTGCGTTTTAACTATCAGAACTATCCGAATCGTACGCCGAAGGCCTGGAATACCACAAATTCGTCGACGCCTCTTTCTTCAACGTGTTCCTTAAGCGGCCGCTGCTCGGCCCCGCCCTATGCTTATCCTCCCCCCTCACTTCTCTAACCTTACTTTTCACGTACGGTTTATGTTCACTATAAAAACTTTCGTCACTACTCGAACTGTCCGTCTTATTTTCCTCGTCGGAATTCGAACCGGAAGTGTACTCCCTTTTGTATCTTCTCTCTTTCTTTTCACTGGTGACCGTGTGTGACTTGTGTTTACTGTGCTTTGATCGCTTCTTCCGCGCGAAACTAGCCAAGGGTAAGTCGTCTTCGTTCTCGGAACTGACTTTCTCGACGTAGTAGCTCTCTTTCCTCTTCTTCTTTTCCCGCCTCATCTTCTTTAAGAACCTCTTCTGCTGGTATCTCTTGTAATCACAGTCTGAATCCGTCGAACTCTCCTCGCTGGAACTACTCGAACTGGTGGAAGTGACTTGTCGATGCCGCTTCTTCGCTTTTCTCTTTTCTTTTGACTTGTGTCGGTTCTTTATCCGAAGTTTGAGGGGCAGAATGGGTTTTCGGTTCTCTTCTTCGACGCACCTCGGCTCGTTCCTTTCTTCCGATACTGGAACAACAACGATTTGGTAACTCGAGCCCACGATCTATTATGTTTTTATTAAATAATATCATTTTTATATGGTTTGCCTAGAGACAATACAATTGGTTGCCACCTTTGGGTCACGTGGCTTATCATATCGAAGCTATAAAACTTCACAAAACCGTCCCCATTAAGAAGTTATTTGGAGTAGAATTTATGCATAAAAGAAGACAGAAGATATATCTATCCTTGCCAAGGTTGCCAAATTACATTATTAAAGTAAGAATGACATTGGTAAGTTTGGGTTCTAAGTGTGGTACTAATGATATATAACAATAGCGGTAACAAGTGCCACCACGACGACACAAAACATTTCTTGTCAAACTGCCCAAAATTTACGGACGAAAGGAAAAGACAGAGATGTACAGTCGTGACCAGAAAACTTCGACGTCATTTTGATGTAGTCTATGCTTTGTTGTCATTTGACGTTTGAAGTTTAACAGATTACGAACCTAAAATAACTGGTACGTTATTGCGACAGAACTTTCCTCGCCCTTGAAGTATAAAGGCAGTAAATCCCGTTCCTTTGAAAAATTATAAAACTTGATTTTGCGATTTTTTTTCTTATCTCTCTATAATAAAGTAAAAACCAGTGGTGTAAAAACTACCAAAAATAGATAATCGAAACAATTGAAAAATCTTCCGGAAAGTCAAAAGAACTGAAGAATGTAAAAATTGAGTCTAAAAATCAGAAATCGAAAACTAGGAAGATCGAAAATTCCAGTATCGAAAATCGAAAACTCGAGAAATAAAAAAATCGAAAATTCAAAAATGGAAAAGTGAAAAATTTAAAAATTGAAAGTTGGAGAAGTCGAAAAGAAAACAAACTGAAAATTCGATTATCGAAAATTCTAAAATTGAAAAACCGAAAAAAGTTAAAAAAATTGAACTAAAATGAAATATCGGGTAAATCGAAACATCAAAAGATCGCGAAATCGAAAATTTAAAAAATCAAAAAATTAAAGTACCAAAAACTGACTAAACGTTTTTTTTTTGTTCTTCGGCTTTAAAATTTTTCGATTTTTCAATTTCTCGATTTATTGAGATTTCCATGTTTCGTTTTTTCGAGTGTTCAATTTCACGATCTTTCACTTATTGTTTTAATTTTTCAGGTTTTTGATTTTTCAGTTTTTCGATTTTTTGAATTTTCGATTTTCCTATTTTTCGACCTTTCGATTTCTCGATTTTTGAATTTTTCGATGTCTCAGTTTTGGGATTTTTGAATTTTTCGAGTTTTCAGTTTTTCATTAATTTTTGAATTTTTCGATTTTTTGATTGTTCAATCTTCCTTTCAATTAATTGATTTTCCGATTTTTTTATTTAAAACTTTTCAAATTTTAACTTTTCTATTTTTCCATGTTTCGATTTCTCGTTTTCGTTTTTTCGACTTTTTGGCTTTTTAATTTTTCGATTTCTTAAATTTTAGATCTTTCGCTCGGTTTTTCAATTTCCCGGTTTTTCGAAATTTATTTTTTCTATTTTAAATTCCTAGGATGTTTCAGTTTTCCGATTTTTTGATGTTTCGATTTTCATTTTTTTAAATTCTATATTTTTCGATTCTATGATTTTTTTGTTTCCATTCCTGACAACTCGGTTTTTTGATTTTTTAAATTCTAGATTTCTCAATTTTTCGATATTTTAAATTTTTAATCCTTAAAATTTGCGATTTTTTATTTCTTCGATATTTCTATCTTTTCAATTATAAATTTTTGATTTTTAAATTTTATATTTTTGATTGTTCAATTTTCCGATTATACGATTTTTTGATGGTTCGACTATTCGATTTCACTATCTTTCGATGTTTCGATTTTTATTTTTTTTTAATTTTAGAATTTTTGATTTCTTGATTTTTCAAATCTTCGATTTTTTAAATTCTATATTTTTCGATTCTACGACTTTTTTGTTTCCATTCCTGACAACTGGGTTTTTCGATTTTTTAAATTCTAGATTTTTCAATATTTCAATTTTGGGAATTTTTCAATTTTTGAATCTTTTAGTTTCTGAATTTTTTATCTCCCGATTTTTCGACTTTTTGATTGTTCAATTTTTTAATTTTTCTGGATCTTTCAAATTATTTGATTTTTCGATTTTTTTATTTAAAAGTTTTCAATTTTCAACTTTTATATTTTTCCATGTTTCGATTTCTCGTTTTCAATTTTCCGGCTTTTTGATTTTTCGATTTTCAGATTTCTTAAATTTTGGATTTTTCGCTTGGCTTTTCAATTTCCCGGTTTTTCGATTTTCATTTTTTAAATTTTCGATTTTTTAAATTTTAGTTTTCGATTCTACGATTTTTTTGTTTCCATTCCGGACAACTCGGTTTTTCGATTTTTTAAATTCTAGATTTCTCAATTTTTCAATATTTCAATTTCAGTAATTTTTCAGTTTTTCGATATTTCTATTTTTTCAATTATAAATTTTTAATTTTTAAATTTTATCTTTTTCGATTTTTCAGTTTTCCGATTTTTTGATGGTTCGACGTTTCGATTTCACTATCTTTCGATGTTTCGATTTTTCATTTTTTTAAATTTTAGAATTTTTGATTTCTTGATTTTTCAAATTTTCGATTTTTCAAATTCCACATTTGAATCACACAAAACTGTGATATCCATAAATTGAACAATCGAGAAATCCAAAAATTGAGAAATTGAAAAGTCTAAAAATCAAAAATCGAAAATTCAAAAATGGAAAAATCAAAGAATTAAAAGTTGGAGAAGTTGAAAAGAAAACAAACTGAAAATTCGAATATCGAAAATTCTATAATCGAAAAACGGAAAATTGAAAAATCGAAACTTTAAAAAACCGAAAAATCGGAAGATTAAAAAATTGAAATAAAATGAAACATCGGGTAAATCGAAACATCAGAAGACCGAGAATCTGAAAAATCGAAAAATTGAAAAAAACAGAAATCGAGAAATCCAAAATTTAAGATCTCAAAAAATTAAAATATCAAAAAACTGACTAAACGATAAATCGAAAAATTGAAAAATGGAAAAAAAATGAAGAATTGAAAAACTGAAAATCCCAAAACTGAAGGATTCAAAATCGAGAAACCGAAACATCGAAAAATCGAGAACTTGAAAAGTCGAGAAGTCGAACAGAAAACAAAGTGAAAATTCGAATATCGAAAATTCTAAAATCGAAAAACGGAACAATTGAAAAATCAAAAAGTTAAAAAACCGAAAAGTCCGAAAATCAAAAAATTGAAATAAAATAAAACATCAGGTAAATCGAAACATCAAGAGATCGAGAATTCGGAAAGTCGAAAAATTGAAAAATCAAAAAATGAACAATTTAGAAAAGGAAAAACTGAAAAATAAAAACCGAAATCGAGAAATCGAAAATTTAAGAAATCAAAAAATTAAAATAACAAAAAACCGATTAAACCATAAATTGAAAAATCGAAGAAAATTGAATTGTAAACCTGGAAATTCCAAAACTGAAACACAAAAAACCGTGATATCCAAAAATTGAACAATCGAGAAATCCAAAAATTGAAGGATTGAAAACCGAGAAACCAAAACATCGAGAAATTGAAAAGTCGAAAAATAAAAAATATCGAAAATTCAAAACAGGAAAAATCAAAGAATTGAAAGTTCGAGAAGTCGAATAAAAAACAAACTCAAAACTCTAAAAACGAAAAACGGAACAATTGAAAAATTGAAAAGTTAAAAAGCCGAAAAATCGAAACATCAAAGGTTGAAAATTCGAAAAGTCGAACAATTGAAAAATCAAAAAATCTACAATTTAGAAAAGGAAAAATTGAAAAATCGAAAAACTGAAAAAAAAACAAATCGAAAATTTAAGAAATCAAAAAATTAAAATACCAAAAAACTTACTAAACGAGGAATAGAAAAATCGAACAAAATTGAAGAATTGAAAAATTAAAAATCCAAAACTCATATCCATAAACTGAATAATCGAGAAATCCAAAAATTGAAGGAATTGAGAAACCGAAACATCAAAAAGTCGAAAAATCGAAAATTGTAAAAACAAAGAACTGAAAGTTAGAGAAGTTGAAAAGAAAAACTGAAAATTCGAATATCGAAAAACGGAAAAATTTAAATGAAATGAAACATCAAAAATGAATAATTTAGGAAAGGAAAAACTGAAAAATAAATAAAACTGACTAAACTATAAATCGAAAAATCGAAGAAAATTGAAGAATTGAAAAACTGAAAATCCCAAAACTAAAACACAAAAAACCGTGCTAGTACGAAAACATGTGTGTCAGCGAACATGTTTGGAATAAATTTCTAGACTTTAAAAAACCACGTTTAAATTCCTAGAGTGTGCCCAATTTCAGCAAAGAACAACCATTTTCAGGATTCAGTTTTAAAAAAATAAAAAACGCGCTTATTAATAATTCAGCTTCTTAGGGACACTAACGAGTAGGGTTCATTCAATAGCAGTCCAGACACGTCATTTGCCAAAATCAGTCTATCCGAGCAAGTGCTAACCCCGCCCACCCGCCCCTTATTTTATTACAGGAAATGTCATTTGCCAAAATCCGTCTTATCTTAGCAAATACTAGCCCCGCCCACCCGCCCATTATTTTCTTAGCAGATGCCATTTGCCAAAATCAGTCTTAACTTAGCAAGTACTACATTAACAACACATTTCATAGCATCCACGGTTAGTTTCAAAGTTACATTGGAAAATATGTTATAAAATTTTCATCGTCTTTTCCAATAATCTGGAAGTCTAGGGGTAAAACGCTAAAAACTCAACATGGATTCATAACCCACAAGTAGTGCAGGAATTTTACTTTATAAAATTTAACTTTTACTAATGTAAACTTTGGAGATGGCGTCATCCTATTGTTGGTGGGGATGATTAGCCAAATTTGGTATAACGCCAAGCCCAGTAGTTTCGGAGATTATCTGACTAATAAAAATCCGAAGAGACCTATTTTTTTGTACTTTAGGGGAATGAAACTTGAAGAAAATATAAAAGTAGTAGTGAGATAGTGGAATGCCATTCACGTCGAAGATTTTCTGGCTCCGACTGTATAACCGTTTATTTGCACTATATAACTGTTCTGAACGCTTCATTATTTTTATCAGTAGGACCACCATAATTTGTACAATTAATTAGATATGCACGATTCATGCTTTGATTGATTTGTACTGATTTATTGACGGTAGTTAACTCCTTAATTGTCAGCGTTTCATATAACACGTAATCGTTTTGCTGTAATACTTAAACACCTAATAATAAGTAATCTCCCGTTACAATATGTTAACAGCTACTTATTTCAGATACGGCTCACTTAACTTAATCTTAAATCCAGATTTTACTTTGTTCTCTTTGTTTTGCTCTAATGTAAATATTGTAAATTATCATTCTCATCTAGTGTAATTTGGGTCAGCTTAAAATTGACATTAATCCACAAACCTACTAAAAATAAAGACTCCAATTCTTGACCTAAAATAAACAAAATGGTGTTCTGCGCTCATGCAAAACTGGACCTAATGACACGTGGTCATTCGTAAAAACGAACTACTTTCTTCGAGTTCTTGCTACGGCCATCCTTGATATTACTGAGGACACATCGTCACTATTTTTTACTATTCACACTTACCTGTTATTATCTTAACCTATAATATCGGAAGCCATATTTGATGTCAAGCATTTAACAGACCATTTTGTATACTAATAAAATTTTACAACGTAAAAATTGGAAAAACCTATACTCCAGACCCTAAAAATATAATTGTAGACCACCGGTCGTGTTTAGTGGTCGGCAAACGCTCAAGAGGAGCGTATATTATATACTTTGTAACGAATTTAATGCAGGTGTCGTACAATAATAGAATACTAACTTGGATGTTTATTTATTATATGTAAGTCACAAATTCACGAGGATCTTTACCCCAAAGGTTGATTTAAATCACACTTATAGGTTATAAAATTTTATTGGTATACAAAAATGGTGCGCAAAGCATCAGGCCAATGTTTTTTACAAACACTGTGTCATTAATTTCAACGTTCCGTCTTTTACTTTGTCCCCTTTTTTTTGTATGTGTAATAACATTTTTTCCCTATATATTTCTTATTTATTTTTTTTTTATTGTCCGTCCACAGGATTCGCTCAACCGCTACTAACTCTAAAAAACAAAACCAAAACCCGAGCTGAACACTAATCAATACCTATGATCGGTTCGTCCGAATCCGTCTCCACCAGATCTATGATGACGGGGTCCGAGACCTGACCTTGGTTATTGTTAGTGTCGCTGACCAAAATCACGTCACTATCGTAGTCCGAGACGTCGACTTCGTCGATGAAATGTATAGGCGACGACTGCTGCCTTTCCGTGTAGATGACGTGCCGGTCATAACCCACCATATCGTACGGAGATCTCATGAAATTGTAGAATTCGTGAATAAAATGGTCGGTTTTGTTGCTCAGGTATTCGTAGAGGAGGGAGCGGAACATGTAACTGCAGATGTGGTGGAGGAGGAGGTGGTCGAGGATGATGTCCACGAGCCGCATCACGTGCTGGGTGTTCTCGTGAAGAAGAGCGTTCAGTTCGCGGTTCAGCCACGGCACGAGGCGAGTCCGCGCCGCTGGATTGTTCCTGGAAACACAATCGTCATTCTCCATCCCACTTTCCCTCTCTCTCGCACTCACCTATAGTACGACGGCGACACGTCCCTATACCTGCCCGTGATGTCCGGCGGCGCGTAGACCCACAGATTCTCCGCATACACCGACCTCCTGAACGACGTCGATGTGTCCCCTCTGCGCCTCCTGTGGTGCGTATACCTAAAACTCACACAGTAAAAATCCCCGTTCGAGGAGCGATCTCTGCGTCGACTGATCGTCGCTCCAACCACTTTCAAGTTACCTTTCGGGGTTATAACCGCCGATGAGTAACGGATGATGGAGCAACAAATTCTGGATGGCGTGCTCGCCGCTCGAGTCGACGGTGAGTGTCGTTCTGGAAAACGTACGCAAAATTTCCTTTTTTTCCTTTTGATTGGATACTCACCGGAATTGGTAGTGGTGCATCGGCGGCGTCGCCGGGGGCAGGTAGATCAGGGACGCGTTGTCGAGGTAGCGGTTGTTCTCCACCGGGATGTTCTCCACGATGTGGACGTCGTACTCGTTGATCGATTTGATATTGTGGAGGATGGATTTGAACTCTTGCTTGCAAAGGGGGCATTCTGCTTTGATCTGGAATAGAAGAGCACGAACAGGTTGAGTGGTAGGTTGAAAGTGGCGATGACGCACGGCAAACCCGGAATGTGAGGCGCGCGGTGGGGATACAAGTGCGCAGATGACGTCACAAGGGTACAGTGGAAGGGCAGGTTTAAATCTGATTGGACTGAAAAGGCGGCGATTTTTAAATTTCAAATAAGTTTCGTTTTTCGTACAAAAACTAAATTTGTAAAAATGTGTCCTTGGGTGTGTATTGTACGACGAAAGATATTTGCAAATGACTGCAATTATGGAAATTGCAGCTGCAAAATTTCCGACCACTTTGGAAAGTGCACCCAGCATAAAACTGTCAATCAAGATTACTCGCCACCCTTACCTTTCCAGGACCGTCTTTGTTTCAATACGTGAACAGGTGGATTGTTAAAGGGACAGCTTTCAAGGAATTTAATCTTAAAATTTAAGGACACATGAAAGTGTGGTTCTTAAAACTTTTGACGACTTCAAGCAGCAGACTGTCGTCTAATTCACGTCAATATTTGGTCATAACTCGTCGCCCAAAAAATCACGTGATAATGACGAGATTTTTATCACTTATTTCTGACTTCAAGTAATGACGTCAAAAAGCCGTCCTTTCTGCGTCATTTTTTAATTATATTTAGAGCAAAAAAATTGGTCGAAAGTTGTTTCGACAGAACTTCCCTCGCTCCTGGAATACAATATTTTTTTGAGTCACCCTGTATACGCAAATCCAAAAAATATGAACGGAATAATAAATTACAAGTACAGATTCATCATACTTTGTACATTTTAGATAGGATTTATTCAGCAAAATTTTGGGGTGACGTCTTCAATTGTTTAGAGGGGATGAACAAATACATTTTGACTAATAATTTACCATGCCTTTGATAATTGTAAAACATCTCCAAGATTTCAAAACATTCGGTTTTGTAGTTCCCGATTAACTCAATTAAATAAATTCACCCACTCATTAGTTTTTTTGAGGCACCCTGTATATGCAAATCCAAAAAATATAATAAACATTTTAGATAGGATTTATTTGGCAAACTTTTGAGATGACGTCATCAATTTTTGGAGGGGACAAGTAAATACAGGGTGTTATTGAAAGGTACGTACAACAAAATGGACAGTTCTTCGCGAAGTCTAAGAAGTCGGAAAAACTTATTTTGTGTTATCAAAATTATAAGGGGAAAATTAACCCTTATCCAACCTTTTTAGACGCTACTGAAGGATAAATAGGTAAAATTAATTTATTTTAGTAAATCCTACCAACTGTAACAATAAAATTTTTGTCAAGACTAAATGTTGTTATAGAAACGAAAGATGATCTTTTTGTCAGAGGCGTACAACGAATTTGGTCATAAATTTTAATAATTTTTATCTCTAAAAGGGTAACACTTTTACCTGAACTTTTTTTAACTTTTAGCACCCATACTTCGAGACCAATTGCCGATTTTATTTTGTACGTACTTTTCAATAACAGGCTGTATATTTTGAATAAAAATTTATCATGCTTATCATAACTGTAAATCATCTGCAAGATTTCAGAGCATTCGGTTTTGCAGATTTCAAATCAAATTAAATTGCAGAAGGTTGTTTCCTAATTTTGATATTTTTTTTTCAAAAAATCTGGACGTTTGGGGACGTCATCACATTATTGGTGGGGATGATTAGGCAAATTTTTGTTAGCGTTTTACCATCTACATGATATTCCTAATATAAATACAAAATTTCACAACAATCGGTCCAGTACTTTCGGAGATTATCTGTCTAATAAAAATCCGGGACGGCAGACAGATAGACAGACAGACAGACGGAAATGGGAGACCTATTTCTTCGTCTTCTAGAGGTCATGAAACATCGAGAAAATGTAAAAGTAGAGAGTCGGCCGACGGACTCGATTACAATACTTCCTTTGCTTACGCTCGGGAAGTAAAAATACAACGGCTTTATTATAAATACACCAAAGACAAGTTTTTTCATTCTAATAATTTCTAATAAAACTCGAAGTGTTCTGAAGTGTTATTTTGTAAATATCCTGCTTGGCAAATTATAAATAGAACATCTGGGGTTGAGCCTATAATAGTGAAGACCCAACAACACAAACAAGTCATAAAAATTCTTTGTCCATTGTCCCTAAAACTGGACAAGGTTTTGAAGAATTCATTCGTCGAATTTTGATTTTATAAAGACGTTTATAAAGTGATGATGGTTACCAAAAAAATTAGAGAGTGATTAATTTTTAGTTTTATTAAATTTATTTCATCTAATGAAAAAATAATGCTCAACTTCCGTATTTACTATACAATACATCAGATGTTGGGGGCGTGCATTCGGACTTTCCCTTTTTCGTTTTTTTTTTTTCTTTAAATAGCATATTTTATTGCAAAAGTTTATTTTTGATTACCTATATATTGTATATTATCCATTTTAGACTAATTTGTTTTAACTTTAATTAATACTCCATATATTTTGTATTGAAGTTTACCTGGTGATTATAACGAGTTATAATATTTTATTTAAGGTAAGCAATATAAAAATATAAAAAACTCCTTAAAATGGACAGTAAATGCCGTCTCTAAGACGTCAGTACATCACGTCAACAGTTCGTTACAAAATGACGTCATCTGGACGAGACATTTGACCGTCATTGGTACGTCAATATCACGTGAAATCTTTGGTCACTATGACGTAGTTGATGACCATTGTTGCCTGGGTCCGTTGCGAAGGGTTCGTAATGGTTTTATTGCAGGTTGCGGTCTAAAGTACTAAAGACCCCTCATAAAGTAATTGACGGCGTTTGCAATTATATTTCCTAGTAAAGTAGCCCAAGAGCTATAAGATAAGACCATCATAAAAGTAGTTGGCCGCAAATAAATACCTTCTTTGTGTGGTTCGCATTAAGCTTACCGGTTGGCAATAAATCGTCTTCTAAACATTTCTTGCTTAGATTTAGATATTTAGTGAAAGTCTGCAGTGGACACGTTATTTACGACCCTAAAACCTTTTCTATTATAAAAAACTTAACTTCGACACAATGGGATAATTTTAAGATGGCCATATAACCTTATAGCTTTTGGTTTACTATACTTTAACATTGAAATTGGACACCTTGTGGATTATGTCAATGCCTAACCTGAAGATTTAACTATTGTAAAAAATATATTTTAATTTTACTTCTCTTCAATTTTTATATTGACTTTAAAGATTTAATTGTTAATTAATAATGGTAATCTTTACTCTCCAAATTTTAAAGAAATCAACTCGCCGGAATTAACCAATTAATCAGTTTATCCAACGTGAAGAAAAAATTCCATGGCTCACTTTACATCTATAGTTTGAAAATCATCTGTAACATTAAAAACTTGGTTTTATATTCACCAAACATTTGATGACATAATTTACAATGAAAACAAACACATGTTTTTCGTTTGCACTATTTTTACTCTGCCTGGATCATTCTAAAAGGTAACAATAAAAGATCACGCTATAAGCATAAGTTGGCCGTGAAATTTCGTCAATTTTGCCGCTTCATTGTGATAATTAATGACTATTAACTACTCGTCGCCTATCAGAAATGTCAATCATAACCTAACTTTCTAAGCTGAGAATGTCTGTGGCAAAATGGGGCCATTTTGAACGCTTCTAAGAATGTCTGAGTACAACTAAAACAAATGATAAACAATTTACTTATCTATGTTATTTTTAGGTTCAATAAATTGTTTAGTAAAGTACGGAAGCGGCAAATTCGTATCAAAAATGAACTGACAGATTGTTCAGAACCAACTTGATGTGGTATTTTTATAATCGTCGTGTGTAATTTATCATCTATTTATTTCTTGTTAGATTGCCAACTTAGAAGTTTCATCTAAAAAAAACAAAAGTGTTTCCTTAATTGGATCATCACAAAACTTTTCACAGTTGGTAGATAAACGTATGGATAAGTTTACATTGCATTTAATTCACTTCCTGCAACCACTATCTCTTTCTACAAACCTATCAACACAGAGATCTATCCAGTATCGGTCACAATCCCTAAAACACGTCATTCTCCAAGAACGGTCCCATTATTAAATCTGTCAATTCATCATATTTACATACTTCCTCTAATCAAGAAAAACCCCACAGCCTTATCTGTGTTCCTTGATTACAATCAACCTGAAGGTGACCCAAGCCCCACTGGCTTGAAACCCTTGACCCTACACCTAATCTTCATTGTAATCACTTTTTATAACAATGCAACGCAAAATCTACGCCCTATTTCGCAATTTTAACAAATACTCACCCTCGACCACTCCAACAGACAAGTGTAGCAAAATTCGTGCATGCAGGAGTTGGCACGAGACTTGTTCTTGCAAGTCCCCAAGCAGATGGCACAGTGCGGGGGTGGACTCGCCGTCTCCGACCGAGGGACCGCCAGCTTGCTGTCTGCCATTGCTCACAACTAACTCACTCGACAAGGAAATTATTCTCAAAACTGTATTGTGGAGATGAAGGATGTCATGTTGATCTGTCAACTAGTCTTGACCTTGCAATTCTCGCGAATTTTCCATCGTTACTCACACTCGGGGCGCGGGCGACGACGACATTTGACAAAAACGACGAAAATGAGGGGGTTCGACGGATGGGATGGAATTTTGCGGTGAAAACTGCACGAAAACTTAGAAATTTGTGAGATTTGTGTACCGATTGCTATCATGGAGTTTGACGTAAAACATCTGAAGCGCGCTGCCAACCTAAGCGGAAAATCCCCAAAGCGCGCCACCTGGCGCCGCATATACACGGCGATTTAGGGTACCCGGTGAACAAAAATTCTCACCGAATTTTTATATGAAATAAATGAAAGCACTTCTTAGTGTTATATTTTAGTTGTTTGCGTTGCTGATTGTCATGGGAGGGGGTGGTGATTGAGACAAGAGTTAGTGTTATTACAAAAGTACCAATTTTATTTAGTGTCATAAAATTATAAAATAAATATAAATCCAGAAACACAATTTCATTATATAGACGCAAAAATTAAACTGAAGCATGCTTTATAAGCGAAACGACCCAAAGGATAACAAAAAAAAAACCTAGACCTACCATGGCAATAAAATTACAATTTAAACCTTTGGGCGTCCAACTTTAGTAACTCAATATATTAAATGATATAATTACGAAAAATAAACAATCATACATAGACAAAATAGACTAGTTCTATACACGGTGTTGTGTTCAGCGGGGTTCCGTCTCGCGCCCTCTTACGTTAAGGTGAAACACTATTGGAAAACCGGCTGTGTGGACGGAAGCCCGCTCAAGTGATGCTTGACAATTAAAAAACCTGCGATAAGTCGTTTGCACTAAAATATTTGTAACGTGGTCCTATTTACATAATCCGTGTACTAAAAGTTCAACGAACGCGGCTTAAGTCCCGTCGTTTTTAAGAAATTGCGCGCTCTCTCTGTCAGATCGATCTGATCCTGCGTCCTGCCGCACGCCACCATCGCCCACATCTTTTCGATCTGCAATAGAAACATAACCTCACTTTGGGTGGTCTCGCCGGCGCCATTTTGTGGGAGGGGTTCGGCGCGTGTGCTCACCTTGGGAGCTCTGGGCCTGCTGTCCTCAAAAGTGATCCGCTTGGCGGCGGTGCTTCGTGGACCAGAGGCGCGGGATGGGGCACTGGCAGATGGCAGGCGCTGCCGGGACAAGGATAAAAAGCTACAATACCACCACACAAACGACCACATGCTCTGATCCCCCAAGCCTAGCACTTTACACCCCGCGCGCCCTCTGACGGGAGCGACTGACTTAACAACTAGGAGAAAATGCGTGGAACCGTCCAGTGCAACAACACTACTAAGTACTTTAAGTGCTCTATCTACACTATTAAAATATGACATTTAAACAACAAAAACCTGGCGTATACTATCTGGTAACGCTAAACTTTGTTCATTGTTGCATATGCTTCGCATTTTCTTCGTAACAACACAATTAACAATCAAAATAAATATTTAAAGACACAAAATGTCGTAATAGTTTCGCAGGTCCGACCGAGATAACCACGTGACTGGTTTGAGGTTATGTCGGCGCGACCGGCCCCTGATCGTGTGACAATACTTGCGTTCTCTGTGCGATGGCATAAGCTGACTGAAGAAGAAGAAAACAGGAATGGTAATGGGCTTTGGTTATTTATGCTCAACTTTTGAGTCAGCATAGACTAGAAGGTGAAGTGAAAAGGTACGATCGTACGGTACATGCAAGACTGATTTTGTCACTAATCTAAGAAAAAATGACAAACGAAAACTCATTTTGTGTTTAAATAAATCATAAAAAAGAAAACAAAAATATACACAAACAAAACCTACAACCTAGACTAAACCGAAAGAATAATTTCAAAGCATAATCCCAAACAGAGGTTAATGGGGGCTGGGAGCAGGTACAGAAGTGTTATACAAAATTAGGATTAGGATGGGAACAAATTATCTTCGAAAAACCATCCATGTACCTTGGATGATCCTGATTGGGCAAAATCCATAAGACTGCTCACTCCCAGAGAATCTTTCATTATGGAAGAAGGCGTTGAAAATAACGCTGATGGATCGTCGCCTAACGATTTACTCTGAAAACATATCATCAGTACCAATACCGCACGCACCCATCGCACAACGCCGACTTCGACATTGTGCAACGGACTCGAAATCCTGCTTACGGGAGTCTCCACCGCGAACGACATGTCCTGCGACGAAGTGGAAGCCCAAGCTGGCGCCAAAGCCTTCCGGACTCTCTTATTGGGCAAAACGTTCTCTTTGCCCGACGCCAAGCCACTCCCATTTTTCCGTTTGCCCGTCAGGTAACCACTATCATTCTGCAACAAACCATCCGAAATCAATAAAAAAAAATCTCCAACGTCGACCACCAACCGTTATCATCAAACTCGTGTCCGTCTCGTAATTAGCGCTGATATCCTGATCCTTCTTCATGATCTCGGTGATGTCCTCCAGCCGCGTGGGCGTGTCAGGCAGCTGCGGAATAGGGCCGGACTTCTTCTCGAGGTCGGCGAGAGCTTTCTTGAAGGGCGTCGGCGTCCGCGGCGTGTCCATGAACGAGCGCTTGTTGGGAGTGACCGTGGGATCGGGCACCGACGTGGGCAACTCCGATTTGACGGAAAGCCCGTTGGGCGTGCTCAACGGACTGTAGTCGCGATCCTGCAACCAATCCTGTAACGACCGCACCTCCACTCGGCGTCATACTTACAGGCTTGACGCTTCTGTCCTTCAACGGTGTGGTGTTCTGCGCTTGGTACCTCTTCACGGGCGTGGAAGACAGCGGCACGTCGAAGAATCCCGGACTGTTGAAGAACTGCGAAGGGCTGAAGGGCAGCTGCTTTATCGGCGAGTTTCCGTTTTGTTTGCTGTTGCAGCCCAGCATGACGGCGAAGTCGTCGACATTCTGTAAAAGACTGAGTGAGTAAAAGGGCGGAGCTTGCACTAGACCCACCTTCGAGTCTTCGCCGTAGTCCGACAGGATGTACTCGCCGTCGCTGTCGCGCCTCCGCCTCGCCTTGGAGCCCCGCCTCAAAATGGGCGGAGTCGAAGCCCGCGTCATGTTTATCGTGTTCGTTACAGGTACTAGAGTGTTTTGGTTGAGGTTCGATGGTGCCAGACCTACAACTGACGTGCAGTGACGTTTTCGGCGACGTTTCGTTCACTTACGCGTCTTGATGAAGTGGCGGTCCTCGGAGGCGTTCTTCAGGGGGCTGATTGCGCGCGTGTTGTATAGTTTCATGTTGAAGTCGTCTGTCATTGGTGTTAGTTTCACGGGACTAGGTTGCCTACTGTACGTATTTACATCTAAGTAGTTGAAAGACGGCAGCTCCGTCTTTAAGGAGGAGGAGTTCGGCGGGGAGGAGCCGTAGTTGACCACGGTGTGGCTGGGGGTGGGGGTTAGAGAGCCGGGACTGGGCGTGGCGGCGAGCGAGAACCCGCCCGTGCTCGACTGGTTGCTCCCGTGGTCGAACGTCTCCAACGTCCAGTCCTGCAAGCAACCGTCAATGACGCAACCTCCCGCGGCTCGCTTCGCTCGACTTACGTCGCTGATTATCAGATTATCGGCAGCGCTCCGGCTGTCGCAGTTGTCGATAGCCACAACCTGATTGTTCTGGTTCTGGTATTGATAACTGAGAGCCTCCACTTGCCGACTCTGGTTTTTCCGCGTCCTCCCCCTCCGCGTCTCCCCCTCGCCCCTGTTCTCGTTCTCGTACCGCCGCCGCATGGTCGAGTTCCAGTGGTTCTTGATGGCGTTGTCGGTCCTCCCAGGCAGCAGCTTGGCGATTTTCGCCCACTGGTTGCCGAGGACCTGGTGCGCCTGGTAGATGATCGTGTCCTCGTTCTCCGTCCAGGCGCTCTTCTTGATCTTCGGGTTGAGGTGGTTGTGCCAGCGCTCGCGGCACTGCTTGCCGATGCGGCCCTTGAGATGGCGCGCTATAAGCGTCCATTTCTTCGCGCCGTACTTGTTCACGAGTTCGATGACCTTCTCGTCCTCCTGGAAACGGAAAACACGCTTAGAAACGGGACAGTGTCACTTGACCGCACACAAGGCGCCGCTTATGGACCAACGCTATTGCTGCTGCGGCGTCCCACAGGGCGCCACTTTTGGATCATTTTTGTCGCGGATGGTACGATTGCGCCTTCAAGGTGGCAGCTTTTTTTTCCCACGTACTGTCATAGTTCACGAAACACATATGGCGGCGGATTCGGGGGCAATTGCGCGTTCTGACCATATGGCGGCAACGCATCGATTGTTCTGACGGATTATTTGAAAGGTGACCAGAGCTGATTGTTTGCGCCTCGTCATTAGCAAAGGTCCGAGAAACTGCAGGTAATTTTTGTTTGTCGGAGTGTTTCTGGTAAAGGGGTGGGATTAACTTTGGGTTAGTTAGTGGACCGATTTAGTGTCCACGGCTTATGAACCCACAGCTGTTGGAACTGTTTTGTGACCGTATGTCTTATCTGAGATGTATATACAATTGACATGAAATGAATATGTGCATGCAATTCTTTTATATGATGCTTAGGGGAGAATACAATCAGGGTTGTAATTAATGAGGAGTGAGAAAGGGATGGAGTGTGTTGGACAAGGATGGGAGAAGGGTGGAAAATCGATAGGGTGACATGCTGAGACCTGCAACATTCTATGAAGTTGTACCAGGTGTCTCAATGCTCTTACACGCAATACCTCGATTACGAGTGGAGATGTTAAGATTTTTGATATCATAATACAGAGAGGGTGACTTTTCCATTGTTCATTGAAATTTTATAATGACGTCATCACTTTTTTCCGAATTTAAACAATACATAAATTTCGATACTTACAGACAACAATCTTGTGTTGCTAAAATTGCAGCAGAATCACGTTTATCCTGTGCAAACACAAACAAACAAACAAAATGACGTCATCAAACTTTTGCTTGGGATGAATGAACAACTTTTGTTGGCGTTTTATCACCGACACGATAATCTTAAAGTACACCTAAAATTTCACAGCGATAAACTAATTAAAATTGCCAACAATTGGCAGACAACAAAGAGAGGAAAGCCGGGGACCGGTCGCTAAAACGATCTTAGTTTAACTCCTCAGGAAGTAAAAATGGTCATCGGAAATGTTAAAAACTAACTAGTAATAACCGTTTGTCAAACTTTGACAGTTAAGTACACCGAAGCAAAAAAATACGAACACACCATGCAACTTCCGACAAAACAACAAACAAACTATTATTACAAACAGCAGACCATTTAATTATCCGTGTAAACATTTACATAAATAATAATCGGTGATCCCGCTAAAAAAATCCTGCCACGCCACTGGCAGCACGTTCAATTTAATCGCAGTCGCACCTGATTGGTGTTGCCTAGACAACGGTGCACCAACAATACTACCGACCAATCAAAAACCGGTATCTTCAAACGACAGTTGCAAAAATTCAACGATCTCCAAAACCGACTTGGCCCGGAAAACTGCCCCAAAAATTCACAAACAGGTAGGAAAACCCCCCAAAAACGCCCCAAACCCCCTACTTTCACCCTCTCTTCCAGGCTGGCACGCTTTCCTCGATCCGGACTTCGAATTTCCACCGACCGTTAAACGGATGTTAAACCGTTTCTTCTTCTCATTAGCTCTGTTTACCTAATCAGTAATCACCATTCGAGCGCTAGACGGACGTTATTCCCCACAGAGTCCTCCATGAAGTATGCAAATACCGGATTACGTAAGTACCACATAACCTGGGGGGCAGACCAGATCTCCCCCTCGCGTGGGAAGCGCACAGAACGTGAATTTAACCCATCTCGGACCATCATCATCGTGGTCGACATGGCCCTGAAAGACCGCCTCGGATTACAACAAAGCGAGGAGTGCCAAAACAAACCTGTCGGGTTATGGGTTTGTGTTTTTGTAGTGACTTAATTACACACGCAATAAAAAAGATTGTTACGTGAAGGGGCGCGGGGTGAGGTAACCTTGGTGGAGTTCAAGGGCCGCGGTGGCTTACTCCCACGAGGGCCCCGTGTGTAGTAAACGTCCGATGAAAGAGATGAGGGAGAAAAAAAAGAACTAGTTTGGCACAGTTCGGCCGGTGACCGTTATGGGCAAATTTGAAGTTTTTTGTTGGTTTTACTGGCACGGAATTTGGACGGTGGCCTTGGCAGGTATGCGCGATGCTCGGAATGGATTAAAAGCGAAAGCGGGGCTTCCGTCCAAGTCGCGGGTCTAATTTAAAAAAGTCGCGAGCGGTGTGAATGCTGCGGAAGAAAGTGTTTTTGGGTAGATAGCCCCCTTGGTTTCCGCGGTTGCTCGACGTGACGTTTGTAGGTGATTTGGTGTTGCCATGGGGTCGCAAAGACAGGTGGCGGAAAGGCGAACATGTCACTTTTCTACTTCCGGTTTTTCTTCGGGGAGCTAATTTATTTAGACACTATAATTACTATTGTTGCGATATAGTGTCATTTCCTTTGTTAGAAGTCGTTTTTCGCAGAACTTTTAATGTTTCTATAATATACGTTATTGTTTAAAATACCGGATAGTTATAATGATTGATTGAAGCAAATTTTTGGGTTGGTAATTCTGAATTATTGGCAGCCGTTCACAGGTGTCAAGTTTGACATGAGCGCGCCTAAAAAACGATGACAAGATGGCAGCTACGTAATTGGTGTCAAAATTCCAATTTAACAATAAAATTTCGGAACACATAAACTTAAAATGTTAATTTCTTTTACTAAAAATATTATATGTTTAAAATTTAAAATATTATTATTAGTAACAGCCGAAATTATACGAAAAAAAAATTAGTCGAAGGTTATTTCGACAGAACTTCCCTCGCCCAACAAATAACGCTTCTTTGAAAAATTGTAAAAATTGTTTGATTTTAAGGAACACTTCCGCAGCTTTTTTGACTCGAATTTTTCAATTCTTTGATTTTTTTTTGTTTCTTCAGTTTTTCGGTTTGTAAGTTTTTCAAGTTTTTCGATTTTCCAGTTTTGAATTTTGAATTTTTCCATTTTTCAATACATATTTCGATTTTATAAGTTTTTGTTTATGAATTTAGATTTTTCATCTTTTTGTTTCAATTTTTAGATTTTGCAATTTTTTCACTTGAAATTTCTCGATTTTTCAATTTTTCATTACTCAATATTTCGATTTTTCAATTTTTCATTTCTTCAAATTTTCAATTTGCAATTTTTCATTTCGGTTTTTTATTTTCTTTATTCTTAAAATTTTTCCGTGTTTCGATTTTATAATTTTTTCAATTTCAATCCTTACAATTTTCCAATTTTTTGTTTCTTCAATTTTACGACATCCACTCTTCGAGTTTTCATAATAAAATATTTCAAGATTTTCGATTTTCCAACTTCTCCATGTTTCAAATTTTAGATTTTGCAATTTTTCTATTTGCAATTTTAGATTTTTCAGTGTCTAGATTTTTTAATGTCTAGTTTCTCAAATTTTTTAATTGCAATTTTATAGTTTTCATTTTAAATACATATGTAATTATAATTACATACAACTTTAAAATTTTGTCACTTTTTCAATTTTACGATTTCTCGATATTCAATTATTAAATTTTTCAATTTTTGTATCTTACAGTTTTTCAACTTCACAATTTTGACGATTCTATAACTTTTCGAATTTTAATTTTTAGTTTTCAATGTTTCGATTTTTCGTTTTTTCAGTTCTTCAATTTGGAATTTGTCGATTTTCCACTTTTTTGATTTTACAATTTTTCGATTTTTCAACTTTTCGACTCAAAAAATGGGAAAACCGTAAGATTGTACGAGTAAAACTGAAAATTCAAAAAGGAAAAATCCAAGATTATTTCGACAGAACTTCCCTCGCCGTTGAAGCGTATCCTAACAAATTCCACTTTGAAAAATTGTAAAATTTGTTTGATTTTAAGTAACGCTTCCGCAGCTTTTTTGACCCGAACCTTTCAATTCTTTAATTTTAATTTTTTTTCAGTTTTTCGGTTTAGAATTTTTTCGAGTTTTTAGTCTTAAATTTTTCAATTTTTCGATTTTCCAATTTTGAATTTTCAATTTTTCAATCCATATTTCGATTTTATAAGCTTTTATTTATCAATTTTAATTTTTTTAGTTTTTCGTTTCTTGAATTTTTAATCTTTTTGTTTCAATTTTTAGATTTTACCATTTTTCTATTTGCAATTTCACGATTTTTCGATTTTTCATTGCTTCAATTTTTCGTTTCGGTTTTTTATTTTTTTAATTTCTCGATTTTTCAATGTTCTGATTTCACAATTTTCCTGCTTTTCAATGTGAAATTTTTCAGTTTTTGGATTTTCAATTTTAGATTTTTTAATGTCTCGTTTCTCAAATTTTTGATTTGCAATTTTTCTAGTTTTCATTTTAAATACATATGTAATAGTAATTTTTGAATGTTACATTTTTGGGTTTTCGAATTTTTTGATTTATTATTAATTTTTTTCGAATTTTAAGTTCCTAGATTTTAATTTTTCAATGCTTCGAATTTTCGTTTCTTCAGTTCTTCGGTCTGCAATTTGTCCATTTTTCGTTTTTTTTTATTTTGCAATTTTTAGTTTTTTCAGTGTTTCGAATAAAAAATTTGGAAAACTGCGGAATTGTAAAAGTGAAAATCTAAAAATTGGAAATCAAGAACATGAAAAATTGAAGATATAAAAAATTCAATGCAATGGAATTTATGCAAAATCAAAAAATCGAAATATTCAAAATTAAAGAATTTGGAAAATAGTATAATTCGACCTAATGAAAAATGTTTAAATTGAAGGAAACACAGAAAAAAAAAAAGAAAAAAACGAAAAATTGTGATATAAAATCGAGAAAATTTTTCAATTTTTCGACTTTTGAATTTTCAATTTTTCATCTTTGTTTCTTCAGTTATCGATTTTGCAATTTTTCGATTTTAAATTCCTCCAATTTTCAATTTTTAATTTTTCAATTCTTCAAATTTTCGATTTGCAAATTTCCGTTTCGGTTTTTTATTTTCTTTATAACTACAATTTTTTGTTTTTTCAATGTTCCGATTTTATATATTTTTTTGTTTTTTCAATTTCCAATCTTGTCAATTTTTCATTTTTTTTATTTCAACTTTTGTGTTTCATTTTTACGATTTTCATTTCAGGATTTTACAATTTTTCATAGCTTCAATTTTTCCGTTTTTCAACGATCTGATTTTATAATTTCTCTATTTTTCAATGTGAAATTTTTCAGTTTCTGGATTTTTCAATTATTCAATTTTCAATTTTTGATTGCAATTTTTCTAGTTTTTATTTTAAATGTGTAATAACAATTATAACATTTTTTTTACTTTTTCAATTATACGATTTTAGAATTGTTTCATTTTTTAATTGTTGGAATTTAAAACTTTTTCATTTTCATATTCGATTTAACAATTTTTGGGTTTTTCGATTTTTCAGTTTTTCGAATAAAAAACTTGGAAAACTGCGGAATTGTAATACTGAAAAATCAAAAAGGAAAAAACGAAAAATCATAAAATGAAAAATTTGAAAATCTAAAAATTGGAAATTAAGACATGAAAAATTGAAGATATAAAAAATTCAATGCAATGGAATTCATGCAAAATCGAAATATGTATTTAAAATTAAAGAATTTGGAAAATAGTATAATTCGATCTAATGATTCAAAAAATAAAAAAAAAAAAACGAGGAATTGAAAAATTAATTATTGAAATTTTGAATAAACGAAAAATGTTTAAATTGAAGGAAACACTGAAAAAAAAGGAAATAAACGAAAAATTGTGATATAAAATCGAGAAAATTTTTCAATTTTTCGACTTTTGAATTTTCAATTTTTCATATTTTTGTTTCTTCAGTTTTTCGATTTTGTAATTTTTCGATTTAAAATTTCTCGAATTTTCAATCTTTAATATAATTACAATTTTTTGTTTTTCCAATGTTCCGATTTTTTTTTTGTTTTTTCAATTTCCAGTCTTCAATTTTTCATTTTTTTTATTTCAACTTATGTTTCATTTTTACAATTTTCATTTCACGATTTTTCAATTTTTCATAGCTTCAATTTTTCCGTTTTTCAACGATTTGATCTTATAATTTCCCTATTTTTCAATGTGAAATTTTTCAGTTTCTGGATTTTTCAATTATTCAATTTTCAATTTTTGATTTGCAATTTTTCTAGTTTTTATTTTAAATGTGTAATAATAATTATAACAATTTTTTTTTACTTTTTCAATTATATGATTTTAGAATTGTTTCGAATCAAAAAATGGAAAAATTGCAAAATTGTAAAACTGAAAAATCAAAAAGGAAAAAACGAAAAATCATAAAATGAATACTTTGAAAATCTAAAAATTGGAAATAAATAACTTGAAAAATTGAAGACATAAAAAATTCAATGCAATGCAATTTATGCAAAATCGAAAAAACGAAATAAATATTGTAAAATGGGAATATTGAAAATTAATGAATTTGGAAAATAAGATAACTCGTGCTCAAAAAAATATATCGAGGGATTGAAAAATCAGAGTTTGCAAATTTGAATAAATAAAAAATTATAAAACCAAAAAACACATTGAAAAAATAAAAGAAATTAAAAAACGAAAAATTGTGATATGAAAAAATTCGTCGAAGGTAAATAAATGCAATTTTTCGAAAAATTAAAAGATTTTATATTGCTAATTTTATTTTTTTATAATAATTGATAACCCTTATAAGTTAAAATATAGACATGTATCCAATGTTAAAGTAAATTTCAAGGAGTGTGCTACGCATTTGTTCCAAGTGAGCTTTTCCACCCCAAAATTTTGTGATGAGGTCATCAATTTTTTGGGAACCGATAAACCAATAAATTTTGATGAACGATTTACCACAATTGCGCTAATTTTAAAACGTTTGCATTTTATCCAAAAATTGATGGTGGGGATCATTAACCCAATTTTGGTTAACGTTTTACCATCTACATGATATTCCTAATATACATACAAAATTTGACAATAATCGGTTCAGTAGTTTCGGAAATTATGTGTCTAATAAAAATTGGTACAGACGCCAAACAGACAGACCTACGGAAACGGAATTTTTGTCAAAACGTCAAAATCAATTTTTTTCTGGAAATTGACGTTGTCCACTTTAAATCAAGTTGCTTCTGTTGTTGCTTCTAAACCCTCTCTCTTGATTACACTTGGACCAAATCAGAAAAAATCTTTGACAACGTCTTTCTAATACTGACTTAGACTTAGAAAACTTCTGATTTCAATGCCAATATGATAAGAGTTATTTCCAAAAATATATTCTACACCTTGACCAAGTCAAAATACCAAACCACCACGACGAGACAAAACCTTCATTACCAACGACTGCGAAACCGCGCGCGCTTCCCTCCCCCCGCGCTAATTTCGTCATGTTGACACGATTTCCCCTTCGCCTTGGTGTCCGTCTTTCGCCCCTTTTTCTCGTGCGCGCCCAAGCATATCGAGATAGCCAAGACAAAAGCCGAAGAAACCCTTCTGTAGAATTTCTCGCTATACCGGTTCCCACCACGAACGGAAGAGGGGCAATGCCCTTTGTGTGTGTGTGTTACCTCTATGCATTCATTGCACAAGAAGACGCCATAATAAGAAGAAAAGCAATTTTCTCTCAATAGCCGACGGAGATGCGCTCATCAAAAGACAAAAAGGAAGTAACACGTCGTCATTATGGAATTTTTTTCCTGGCGACGATCGACGAATCTCGATGAGAGGCGTCGTCCTTGGACGGTTTTATTAAACCGGGTCACGCTTACCTCTTTAGTCCAGGGTCCTTTGACCAGCTCGGGATTGACGACTTTGGTCCATCGCTGCTGGCACTGGACATCCGAGCGGTCGGGGAAGAGCTCCGCGATAAGGTCCCACTTTTCGTTGTACTCTTCCACGTACTGCTTCAACAGAGCGTCCTGGAAGAAGAACTGTGTGTAGGATCGCAGATGTGAATGGGTGGACGTCCATTCATATGGATATACATAGGTGCATTGTGGCTTGGTTGAAATTGATTCTAGAATTCCTTTTGGTTGGCAAATTGATTACTGGAAGTTATTGCTTTATCAATAGACGCGTCTGGCAAATAAGAATGACGTCAAGGCACGAAGTCTATAAATACCAGAACATTATGCGGAAACCATTAAAGCTTTTGAACTATTACAATGTTCGATATTCTTTAATAGACGAAAAAGATCTTGGAACGAATATTCGTTCATGCGCTTGGTTTATTCCACGCAAAAACCCGGCATGAACACGGAAATGAGAAAACCCGAACAGGTCTTTCCATCACAACAAGATCTGTCAACTGCGATCCTCGCTAAATAATAGCAAAAACGACTTAATGAATCGTTAATGAATTCGAAGCAGGTGTTCGACGCACCGTCAGGTACATAAAACTATTCCTTCCTTACCTCCTCCTTGCTCCACCGTCCCTTGTTTATCGGTTTCTTGGTTTTGGTCTGCTGCGGTTCTTCAGTCAAAGCCGACGAGTCCGAGTCCTCGTTTCCCGAAAGATCGATTTCCGAGTCTTCCTTTTTGTATCTGGAACAAAGGATAATTGGTTATTTGGGAACGCTAAAGCGGCTCGTTTCCCACATTTCGCGCAAATTCGAGGGTCGCCGGCCAGGTGCAGCGACGCCCGAGCAAAGAAAACGCGACTTCGCGACATTTCCCATACGCAATTCCACCCCTCACGATGACCAAAACCACCCCGATTCTCACCCCATCGTGCTCCCCTTCCAAATTTTCCTATGGGAATGGCCTATTTTCTATTCACGGCGAGGATCCAATAATCTTCTATCTTTACCTGATGGCAGGTCCCGATTAAAACGGGGTCGCAGAGGTAAACTGGCCGCCCTTCCGGAAATGCGTGACAATGACAGGAAGCGTTCCCTTAAGTGCATACGCCAAGCATATCGCCGGACGCCCGAATTTCCTCCAGTCCCAATCAAAATCGGGAGTTATTATTTATTGCGAAGCAGTTGGAGAACGAGAGAAACTGGATACGAAGCCATATGTTGGCGAGTGATCGGAACCAGACGCGCAGAAGAGGCATTTTTAGCGTCTAGTGGAAAAGCGGCCCACACTCGCCGAGATTTGTTTACAACGAGGTCGCTGCGGAGGAATGCACGACACCCACCAGACTGGCGGGAAAAATGGGTCCCGGGTTGGGGCACCCGGGGCCGAAGTTTGAGGCGCGGAGAAAGTCGGGCGGGCTTGTTGCTTCTCAAGGTCGCCGGATGATGGAGGATTTTCGGCCGGGAGAAGAGGGCAAAGGTCGCGTTCGCCGCTCCGCGGGTTTGGACCGCAGCTCGTCAGGTAGCTTCTCACGAAAAGGGTGAACATCGCAGGATTAAGATTAGTGGTCCTGGAAGGGTTCGGGTACATTGTGCCCGGAACCCTTTATTATTCGGATGATGCTCCGAGGAATTAGCCGCAGCTAGCTCCAATTAGAACAATTAGAGCTCACGGAACGCTGGACTGGGTTTATCGAGTTGACTGCGGCGATCAGCGGTTCCAGAAGTGTGGGGCACGAGGATTTAAAAAAAAAAGAGAAAAGTATTTACGTCGTTCTGAATCTAGATTTAAATATTATATCGGACAAAAATTATATCTTAACAAGTTTGTTGGATATCTGGGAGCATAAAATGACGATTTCATCTCGCGGAATGAAAAAAAAATTGTTGGAGTTATATTTAAATTGAACTTTCCTCGCCCTTGAAGTAAAGCCAAATAAATCCCGCTTCTTTGAAAAAGTTATAAAATTTGATTTTGCGATTTTTGTTTTTTACCTCTACAAAGAAAAAACCTGTGGCGCAAATAGTCCAAAAATCGAAAAAATAGAAAAATCTTTCCGAAAATAAAAAAAAGAAAAATCGAAAAATGAAGAATGGAATTGAAAATCTGGCAAATAGAAAGGTCCAAAAATTGAAAAATTGAATCAAGAAATCGAAAAGGAAACAAATTGAAAATTGGAATATCCAGAAACCGAAAAATAAAAAAAAATCGATAATCGAGTTTTCGAAAAATCCAAGGATCGAAATATAAAAAACGAAAAACGACAGTTGAAAAATAGAAAAATCGAGAAACCGAAGTTGAAACAATTCAAAAATAGGAAAATTTGAAAAACTGAGAAATCGAAACAGTGAAAAATTGAAACATCGAGAAATGAAAACCTCAAAATATCGAGAACTCGACAAACCGAAAAATCTAAAATCCGAAAAATGGAGAAATGGAAGATTCAAAAATTGAACTATCAAAAAATCGTAACATTGAAAAACAAAAAAAATGTAAAATTTAAAAATTGAAGAACACAAAAATCGAAAAGTCAAAAAGTTGAAATTGGAAAGTCGAGAAGTTGAAAAATTTAAAAATCTAGAAATCGAAGTAGTCCAAAATCGACACATTGAACAATCAAAACATCGAAACTCGATAAATCGAAAAATTGATCAATCGTTAAAACGAAAATTTGAAAAATTGAAGGAAAATTAAAGAATCAAAAAACTAAAAAAAATCCCAACCGAGTTATCGAAAAATTGAAAAATCGAGAAATCTAAAACCCGAAAAATCGAGAAATGGAAGATTCGAAAAATTGAACAATGTATTAAAAAATTTAAAAATCGTAACATTGAAAAACAAAAATAAATTTAAAATTTAAAAATTGAAGAATACAAAAATCAAAAACCAACAAAAACACGAAAAATTGAAGTATTGAAAATCTGACAATCGAAAAATTGAAAACTTGAAAAATAGAGAAATTTCAAAAGTCGAAAAAACAAAAAATCGATTAATTGAAAAATTAAAGAATCGAATGATTTTAAAATTGTAACTGAAATATGCATCTGAAAATACAGAAATCTAAGAATAAAAAAAATCGAGAAACCGTTGAAAGAATATCGAAAAACGGAAAAATCCAGAAATGGAAAAATTCCCAAAATTGAAGTGAGAATTGAAATGAGAAATCAAAAAGTTAAAAAATCGAGAAATGGAAAAATTTTAAACTTTGAAAAACCGAGAAGTTGCGAAATGGAAATTTCGAAAAATGTAACTATTAAAAAATTTAAAAATTGTAAAAATGAAAAATCAAAAAATCTAAAATTTAAAAATCGAAAATTTGAACAATTCTAAAATGTTGAAAAATTGGGAATTTGAAAATTATAAAACAGAAAAATCGAAAAGCCAAAAAGTCAGAAAAAATTAAACATCGTGAAATCGAAACATTGAAAGATCGAGAAATCAGCAAATCGAAGAGTCGAAAAATTAAAAAATCTAGAAATCGAAATAGTCCAAAATCGGCACATTGGAGAATCGTAACATCGAAACTCGATAAATCGAAAAATTGATAAAACTGAAAAATAAAAAAACGAGAAATCCGAAAAACTGAAAAATCCCAAAACTCGAATATCGAAAAACTGATCAATTGGTTAAGAAAATTTGGAAAATCAAAGAAAAATTAAAGAATCGAAAAACTGAAAAATTCCAACCGAGTTATCGAAAAATTAAAATATCGAGAATTCGAAAAGTCGAAAAATTAAAAAATCAAAAACCAAAAAAAAAATTGAAGAATTGAAAATCTAACAATCGAAAAATCGGAACCTTCAAAGATCGAAAAGTAGGAACATTAAAATATGGTAAGATTAAAATATCGCAAAATCTAAAGTCGAAAAATTGAAAAGTCAAAAAATTTATTTGGAAAATCGAAACATTTAGAAATAGAAAAATTGAAGAATCGAATAACTGAAAAATTATAAAATTGGAATATGCATCTGAAAAAGGAGAAATGGAGAAAATGAAAAAAAAATTGAGAAACCGAAGTTAAAAAAAATCCAAAATCGAAAATAGGAAAATTTGAAAAATCGAAAAAACGAACAGCGAAAAATGGAAAAATTCAGAAATGGGAAAATTCCCAAAATTGAAGTGATCAAACTTGAAAAATCGAGAAATGGAATGATTTTAAGCAGAAAAACCAAGACGTCGAGAATTGGAAAATTGGAAAAATTTAATTATTAAAAATTAAAAAATCGAAAAACTGAAAAATTAAAAAAATCTCAATAACTAAAATGTTGAAAAATTGGGAATAAAACATTTAAAAATTGAAAAGCCCAAAAGTCAAAAAAATGAAACATCGAGAAATCCAAAAAATTAAAAAATCGTAAAATTTAAAACATCGAAAAATTGAAGAACTAAAAAAACTCAACAAAAATGTAGAAAAATTGGACAATTTTTCTTTTGTATTGACATACAAAAAATTGGAAAATAGAAAAATCGGAAATCCAAAAAGTCGAAAAATTGAAACATCGAGAAATCGAAACATCAAAAAATCGCGAAATCGGAAAATCGAGAACTCGAAAAATTGAAAAATTTAGAAATCGGAATAATCCAAAAACGACACATTGAAGAATCGAAATATCGAAACTCGATAAAGCGAAAACTTGATAAAACTGAAAAATCAAAAACAAAAAAAAACAAGAAATCTCGAAAAATTGAAAAATCCCAAAACTCGAATAACGAAAAATTGAACAATCGATAAAACGAAATAAAGAATCGAAAAACTGAAAAATCCCAACCGAATTATCGGAAAACTGAAAAATTGAGAAACTGAAAAGTCGAAAAATTAAAAAATCAAAAACAAAAAAAATAGAAAAACTGAAAGGAAAATCTGACGATCGAAAAATTGAAACCTTGAAAAATCGAGAAATGGGAAAATTCCCAAAGTTGAAGTGTTGAAATGTTTAGAAATCAAAACTTGAAAAATCGAGAAATGGAATAATTTTAAACATAGAACAACCGAGAAGTCGATAAATGAAAAATTAAAAAGTCTCAAAACTAAAATGTAGAAAAATTGGAAATACAAAAATTGAAAAATAGAAAAATCGAGAACTCAAAAAGTCAAAAAATGTAAAATTTAAAAAATCGAAAAATTGAAGAATTAAAAAATCTCAAAACAAAAATGTAGAAAATTGGGAATACAAAATACAAAAAAATTGAAAAATAGAAAAATCGAAAAGCCAAAAAATCGCGAAATTGGAAAATCGAGAACTCGAAAAATTTAAAGATCTAGAAATCGAAATTGTCCAAAGTCGACACATTGAAGAAGCGAAACATCAAAACTCGATAGATCGAAAAATTGATAAAACTGAAAAATTAAAAACAAAAAAAACGAGAAATCATGAAAAATTGAAAAATCCCAAAACTCGAATATCGAAAAACTGAAAAATCCCAACCGAATTATCGGAAAACAGAAATTGAGAAATCAAAAAGTTAAAAATCAAAAACACGAAACCTTGAAAAACCAAAAAAGGGTTGAAAAATTGAGAAATTGAAAAGTCAATAAATTTAAAAATCGAAACATTTAGAAATGGAACTATGAATCTGAAAACAGAGAAATCGGAAATAAAAAAAACGAGAAACCAAAGTTAAAAAATTCGAATATCGAAAAATCGAAAACGGAAAAATTTTAAAAATCTAAAAATTGAGAAATCGAAACAACGAAAAATTGAAACATCGAAAAATAGAAACATCAAAATATCGAGAAATCGACA